CCTGCTGAAACCAGTGTAGCTACTCAGATGCTTAAAATTAAGCATATAATTATGTTCCTGAATCAAGGCTTTAATAAGTTAATTAAATTTCATAATTATAATGATTTTTATAAAGGCAAAATCCTCATTTGCTAATGCTAACCATAAATGTGTGAAAATAAAAGAAAGAACAAATTTTCCAACCTAAGTAATTAATGAGCTATGTTTTTGATAGGAAAAAGTTTTTAATGGAGACATTGTTTGAAGTTTGCTCAGAAATAATTCTTTGGTATATTTGTATTTTTCCTCCCCTTTTTATTTTTGATACCACTATAATGAAGAGAATAAAATCATATTTAACTTAGAATCATGCCTTCTGTATATGTTCCAATTGTTCCTATTATTAGAGCTGACAGAGATAAAGTGACATCTGAAGTGTATATACAGTATATACAAAAGAGTCTCTGAGATAAAGATTCTGTGATCCTTAAATACTTTCCAAATGTCTCTGAAGGGATTTAAATTCAGTAAAGACATTTGACAGAGAAAAGCAATTTCTGATTACACAGATTTCTTTTTGCCATTTAACAGGGTTTAAATTGAGTCACTGACCTAAAATATTAATTTTGAAAATGACTTCTAAAACAGAATTCGAAGTTGTTGGTGCTTTCAGTTTTGTTCTCTGAAGACAGCTGAATGACACAAAAATGTATCTTGCATTGTCTGCTTGTTCTAAATAATCCCTTTTAGTAGGATTAGTCACAGTATTAAATTAAGAGAAGGAGCAATTAATTATATTCTTATGAAATGAAGAAGAGAAGAATCTTTGAAATGTTCTGCTTTCCTCCTCACCCCCTCCCTTTGAAATCTAAAATTGCATTATGTATTTTTCAGTTATGGAAAATCTTTCAGTCTTCAGTTTAAACAAAAGTAGTGGGAATGAGCAGTTCATGGCACAAAATTAATTTAGATTGACTTTTAGGTACACTAGGGGAATGTATGGCCAAAACGAAAAGGAATGCTTAATTACTAACAACTGTTAATCCATGAAGCAAGGCCTTGCTGCTGCAAAGAGCTGTCAGGGGTTTTGGACAAGCACCTGAGCTCACACCAAGCAAATGTGTTTGTGCTTACACTTCTTTTTGAAATGGTTTGTTAGGGTGTTTAAAAACTGAATATGTGGTCCTACCATGGCATGGTGTTGGTTACTACGATAATGATACAATGTTCATTAAAGCCCTTTTTGTAGTGAACTTAGGGGGGTTTTTTCTAGCTTTTGTTACAAGGGTTGCAAAACAGCTGAAAAGCTCTGAATATTCTTCTGTGCAAAAAAGCATGAGGACAAACTTCTGGAAGAAACAGTAGTAGATAGACAGCTACAGAGGAGAGCAGCGTAATAATAAGGATGTATCACTAACTCTCTGATAAACTTGGGGGAAATGACCACAGATTATTAAAAGAGTTTGCAAGGACCATGAGGGCAGAAAATATAATACTGAGAAACTGGAATTATCCATATGTAGGTTGTGTAAATGATACACAGGGGCATGAAACCTCTTGGAAAGATTAATCTGCGAACCCACAAAAAGGAAACAACTCTTATTAGTCTGAAGCGGTGCATCAGGCCCACATCAATAAGTAATTGTGCAAGAATCACATTCTCTCACTGAATTTAATATGACCATAATCGAACCTCCTGCTAGGAACAAAAATGCTTTAAAAAATACACTGCATAAAAGTTTACTACCAAAAAGGAAGAAACTCTTAAGGAAAATTGAAAGAGAAAGCCAGAAGGGTAAAATGCTAGCAGGTGAGCGTGGAAGATGCTGAAAGACTCAGTGTTGAATGCTTAGTGTACCTATAGAAAGGTCACTGTTCAACAGATTCCTGTGTTCACATATCAAAGGCCAGGCTGGATGGGGCTTTGAGCAATCTGATCTGGTGGAAGGTGTCCCTGCCCATTGTACAGGGGTTGGACTAGATGATCTTTAAGTTCCCTTCCAACCCAAACCGTCCTATGATTCTATGAAATATCACACCCAGTGCCATTTACTCATCAGTTATGAGAGGAGTTGCAGGAGAAGCAGATCTGAACCATTTCTGCTGGAGGGGAGGGAAGCAGGCTTGTGTTGCTGCTGGGCTGCTATCAGGCCCCCGATGAGCGGTTGTGCCTCACTGCCAGCTAATGTGAGCCACTCCATCCTGAAACAGCATCTTTACTGCACAGTACAGGTTGTTCAGTTTAAATCAGTTTCAACATATAAGGAATTTAATGTCAAGGAAAAGAAAGAAATTATTTTCTTATAAGCCACCTGCTTTAGGTGAATGAGACTACATGGTGATCTTGGAGCCTGACAGGTCTGGCTTTGATTAAAAGCAATCATGTGCAATAATTCACGTGATAATCTGTGATTTCAGCATAGTGTGATGTTGCCCCATGCAGATGCTCCTTTTCTTTGAGTTATGCATTTTTAAATGGAATACATCACCCATAGCTTTTAAAATTATCTGACAAATTTAACTTGACAACACTAAAGTTTTGCTCAGTGTGAGATTTTATTACTATGCTGTAATTTCTTAAATGATTCTTGATGCATTTTTAATTAAAAAGGCCATAATGTTTCAATGTCAATGTCTCAACTAGTGGTAGAAGACCTGAGCTTTTGGAATTGATTTCTACTCATCTCAAACAAGTGAAACCTACAGGCAGAGCAGCTGAATAACTAAATGTTAAAAGACCCTGTTTCTTCAAAGCTTGCCTTTTGATCCTCACATTGCCGCCGAGGCTCTGAATGCATCATTCATTGCAGGGAGAGTGTTTTCCTATCTCAGCTGGATTGCATGCTGTTATTCTTTTAATTGTCAAATGTCTCTTTTTCTGAGGCAAAATGGATCTGATGGTGAATGGCTGCCCTGACAGACAGAGGCTGCACATACAGAGCTTCTGCTAGCATTTTCTGTACTTACGTTTCTAGAAAGAATCGAAAGTTTGCACCCTTTATTTTCCTTGAAAGATCTGTTATTTTTCTGTGGAAACCAACACCTCAACAGCTTAACCAAAAACTGGTTTATCATTGTAACATGAAGTGGTATGCATAGAAATATCTGCCCAAACTGGCACAGGCATTTTCAATGAGGAAAACATAAGGTTGGATAAATATCACTAATTCTATTGCTTTTCATTTTCAGCATCTTTAATATATGCCTTTTACTTTCCAGCACTATTCCAGGATTGTCTCCTATTCTTATTTCTCATGTAACATTCATTTGATGTAGCTGAATCTTTGCTGAAGTCCCTGCTGTGCACCAAGACCTAATCAACCTCAGCGTCTGTTGTGAATTACTCTAGAGCTGCCCAGTCTGAGAGCAGGAGCCAACCTGCAGAGCTGACGTTGGGCAAATTCCTGCCAAAGCCCGAGACCAGTTGCCCTTTCTGGGCCAAAAATTTTTATTGGAATGGGAGTAAAATTTAAATCAGTTCTGCCTCAAGTGAAGTTGTGCCGCTTGAGTTTCACCATCATAATGTTGAGGCGTTTTCCACGTCACGCATGTTTGTGTGGGGTGGGGAGTTATCAAGCAAGAATGGGATTATCTAATTTGTTTTCATGATCTATGCCTGTTAATGGCAGAAGTAGACAAACACTAGTTGACTAAATGTCTTTCACCCATATGTTGATGATTTAAATGTATCCCAGGCTGATAGTGACTGTTCATTTTTACTGCTCTGTTACTGACATCTGTCAATAAAGGAGAAATGGGCAGGCAGTTTTAACCTAGTCCTTTTTTAATGGGTATCATCAGCAGGATCACTAGCGCAGCTGTTGCAAGGACCAGCTATGGCCTCGGTCTTTCAGAAGTGCTTCTTTCAGGCTGCAGATGAGCATTAGGTGAGGGTAAAAAAGGGCCAGGTTGCTTTGCCACTGACCGAGTGATAGCCTTTCATCGAGAAAACAAGACTGTTGTGTTGTTTATTGCCGATCTGAAAGATGTCACTTGTTTCAATGTTTCTAAATTCTGCTGTGTTTTTAAAATAAGTCAGTGTGTTATGAACTTTAGAGTTAGAGATAGTACAATGTTAGAGGTGTTAGCGATAGTACAATAACACGTAGCACAATGGAAGATAAATGATGTATTCCTGTGGTGCAAACCACCGGCTGCCAGTGTGTCAGAGCCAGTCTCTGTCCTTATACTCTGTATTCATTAGTGCCTCGAGGGACACTTATTCACCTTATCTGTTCTGTTCTAGTGATTCACCATTTTTCAACGGAAGAGAGGCGCATGCGAGCAATAAAAGAGATGGCTCGCATCTTGAGAGTAGGAGGCCAGATAATGATATATGTGTGGGCAATGGAGCAAAAACGCAGAAGATTTGAAAAGCAAGACGTCTTTGTTCCCTGGGATCCTTCACCTCCTTCCTGCTCCTTGGGTGAGCCTTGCTCATGTGGAGTACAAAAATCAATTCTTCACAAGGACAAAGAACTGGCTTTGAACCAGCCCTGTCATAAGCTGGATGGGACTTCAGAGGTACACGGGACAGCAAGGAGCTCATCCTGTGGAGGGGAGAAGAAAGCGCTGTGCACGATGTTAGAGAAATCTCCGAGATGGTCTCTGTTCTCAAGATCACTTGACTCGGTATTAGGTGATCAGTGGCACCAAGAAGAGCTCATTAGATACTGCAATTATGGTATTCAGCTGAATGAATTAAACAGAGGAGAAAAAGTTGAACAAAACAGAGAGCGTGGCTTTCTGAAACGCGCTTCTGACTTTTTTCTGCATTGCAAACCGAGTTTTGAAAATACAGCAGCTTTTGAAGTGGCTGTTAAACCTGTGCTGCCCATGCCACGCTGCTCGAAGGCTTTTAGAAGTTGCTATTCAGAATTAGGGCAAGCAACTATACAGCTCCCTATGGCTGCAGATACTCTTCACGATTGCAGCGGAGTGTGTTTACCTGACCTGATTTCACATCAGAAAGAATTAGCTGTCAGACAACAACTTAAAATAGACCATCACCTGAAACGAGGAGCTTGCTGCCAACCTCAGAACAAACAGCGAACAGGCTCTTCTCTGCAGAAAGCAGTCAATGAGCACACCTGCACCACGCAGAGCCAGCAGCAGAGGGGTCCTGGTGGGGCCTGGCTGAGGTACTACCACGTTTTTAAAGAAGGGGAGTTGGCTGAGCTGATAGAGCGTCATATTCCTGAGCTACATATTACTCTTTCATACTTTGACCATGCCAATTGGTGCGTGATCGCAGAAAAGACTGAAGTGTGGAAGATCTAGGGGAGATTTCCTTGTTGAAATGCACAAAGAATACTTAGGGGCTTTCTTCCTTTTGGAAGCTCAGCGCCTTTGAAAATCTTTCCTGAAGCTTTTTATAGCCTTGGGTTTGTTTTGGGGAGAGGGGGATGTATGAGGAGGAGACTACTTTGAAACTCTTAGGTTCTGTGACTTTGTTTTCTTTGATTTTGTTCTTAAAATACATCTCTATTGAAATTTTTTTTCCTGGAGTTATTATTTCAGACTGAGTACATTGTAGTACACTGACCCCTTTTTGTAAACAGCTGCCAGCTGTGTTTTGTTGCTTGAAAATAGGTAAAATACAGTTGGAACGTGATTGCTGGATTAGGTTTTACATGTGCATTAAAAGTCTTTTTTCATTTATAACTATATAATCATTCATGTCAACTTTTTATTTTAAAATTTATTGTACTCTGCCACTTGATGTAACATAACACAGGAAGTAATTGAAAGATGCACTATTTTATTACAGTTCACTTTGTCAGCCTATGTGATGCTTCTAGTCATACCAGACAGACAGTCTTTTATGAGAATTACTAGGTCTGTAGAGCCCTCATGGCAGAGACAGTAACTCATGATACTGTCACAGTCTAGAGATCTTTTTCATTGACTTGTAGCAGTCACAGCCAAGAAAGCAAAGAGATACTTGCCTCCATATATGCCACTATAACCCCCCCGCTCCAAAAAATAGTTTTAAAAGTGAGCTTGACATGTATGCTTAAGCCTAGATTGCTCTTTCTCCCTGTCAGCAAAACTAGGATGAGTCAGAAGGATTTAATAACTCATTTAAATCTGTACAGTGAATGAGCATAACACAGAAAAGTGTTCCGGTGACCACTAATCAACTGAGAAAACATTAACATCAGCATGCAATACTAATGCTTTTATCTACAGATTCACCTTTTGCAAAGAAGATCAGATTCATTATCCAATTTCTATATATAAAGAGACTGAGGTAAGCAACTTTGCTTAAGGTTGCAATGTACAGTAAATACTTGGAAGAAAAACGAACAAAAATCCCAAGCAACACGGCTGCTTTGCTGATGATTATTTGTGTTCTGGGGAGGTCTGTCTGTAATTTTACTTCCTCCCTTTGTTTCTGTGGGTTTGTGAATCAGCAAGTCAGAGATCAAACTTGTTTTCTGAGAAATAAGCCCCTGCATGTTCTTTACGTGTCTGTCAGTAGCAGATGCATATCCTGTTTTCAAACATAGCATGGAACCATGCAGTAATCTGAGTTTTTTAATGCAGCTTTAATTCAATTTGGATATAATATCTGTAATCACATTTCCTTTACTTCCTCCCCTGGAGTTCACGTCGGCAGTATCGTAGTACATCATGTATTTTCAGGTAGAAAAGCCAGAGGGACTAATCAGCCTCCTCCATCTGTAATGACTGCTTCTGCAGTGCTCCTTTTCCCCCTCTAAATGTTAATATCATTGCGCAAGTGAAGAAAATAATTTTCAGTCACAAAAATCACAAAAAACTAAAAAAGCTGCCATTCAGCTCTGACAACACTGTTCCCTTCATTTTGTACGCTTTTTTCCATCACCCAGACTCGACAGCACCTCCCTATTTTTCAGTGCAGCTTCAGGTTGCTCTACGAAGCAGCAGCAGCAGCAGTGGCACATTGCAGCTCTGAGCCTCTCCATCATGTCTGCTCCTACAGTTCAACAGACTGTTAACCCATACAAAGCACCAGAAAAATGCCTTGGATCGTAGCTGCCAGTCCTTGCCTTCAAGCACACCTGATGTTTAGTTCTTCTAGAAGGGAACACAGGTATTTTGACTGAACCTGACTGGTCTTGGAAGGTTTTAGCCTGCTCCAGCATTTCCTGAACAAAAGGCACTCATCGTCTCCAGTCCTTCCCTAGGCTGCAGTGAGTCACCACTAGATTTCTCCTAATGCTGATACCCCTGGTCAAGTGTTCCCAAACAAGATCCGTCTCACAGGGACAGTACTAGCCGAACCGGAAGGAATTTTAATCTCTGGACAACTGTCAGCAGCTCCAAAAGCAACCCTCCCCTTCAACAAAGAGTTAATGTCCTTGTTTTGAGAGAAACCAACTGCAAAGGACCACTTCTGCTATAGCAAAGTGCTGCCTAAGGCATGGGTTAGACCTGCTTCCACAGGGATGGCTTCCACTCAAGATGGTTGTCCCTGGAGGGTGCCGAGTGCTTCCTGGGATCAGAGTAAATTCAGCCTCTTGCAAACTAGGCTGCCCCAGGACAGGACCCTGACTAGGCAGGGAAAGAAAGTAGAAACATAGATTTGGTTGGAAGGATCATGTATTAATACTTCCTCACATTTCTGCATGTCACAAATGTTATAAAGCCGTAAGCTCTATTCGAAATTCTCGTTTTGATCAGGATGCCAGTAGCAAAACCAGGACTGAGTTCATTCCTTCATTTCCACATCACAGTCTGCCTTTGTAGTCCTCAGGGTAGTGCCTACCTTGCGCCAAGGGATACAGCAGGGAAATGCTCTGCACTCCTGAGCAGTGCTTGGTCCTAATTTATGTTCCTCTTGTGCTCTTTGCTGTTCTGAGCTGGATTTTAGAATAGAAAGGTACAATTTTTCTGGCTTCATTTAGGCATCTAGACCATAGATCTGTCTGTAAGTCTGAGTTTGTGCACCATATTGCCTGTGGAGTTAATGGCAAGAAATAGCCCCTTTAGAGGATGAACCATGAAATACACCTTGAGGATCTGTTGGGATTAGAGAGCTCATGTTCAGCACCTGCTCATCTTTTTCCATTGCTTGTGGAAGGAGAGGAGCTCAGCCTTAAACACCAATTCAGGGGTGCTTTATTTAGGAGAGATGGATCCTACCTAGGAATCTTTTAAGTTCTGAAGATGGAAAAAAGAGGCATGGACAACAGTAAAATCAGACAGATTTGTCCCCCACTCCGCCTTTTGGCCAAGCAGTGCTGCCTACATAACCCTATTTTCTAGGAACATGCAGAAAAGTACATTGTTAAGCTGGGAAAAAAGAAGACAAAAAGCAGCAGCCTATCTCAGCACTTCTTTACAGCATCTGCCACTCTGAATTTATGGTCGTTTGAGGCCTCACCTGTCCAAGGGACACTTTCAGAAAAGCTTTCAATGTCTCACCCTATCTCTGATCTACCAATGATGATCACCTTTACAGATACCAATATTAATAAAACCAATGTCTTTTCACTTTTTCTGATTTGCAGGTCCCTAAAAATTCCCCAGTGTCAGAAACTTCTCGGTTTTCTCCACAGACAGTTGCTGTGCTGTTCCTAATTTCTTTTGTGGACCCCTGGGAAATCGTCCACAGCCATCCCAGGATCCACGAACACAGCTTGGGGGCTTCTGTTCTGTGCTTGCCACATTAAGCACTGTCGCATCGAGTCCCATGCAGCCCACGTGAAGCTGGCACGGTAGCAGCAGCCGGTGCTGCTCACATCACTAGACATAAGACGCTGTGAGCGCGGCACTGTTTATTCTCCTTTGGCATAAACAGGTTTGATGAGTGTGAATCTATCACAAAAGATTTTTGCCCACTGGGTAAATGTCTTTCTTCTAATTGTCTGCTAATTGGCAAACAGCTAATCCCACTTATTATCAAAATTCTTTCTCCAGAGAAAACTCAGCCAAGAGTTTCACAAACCCAGTTCCCTCATCCTTTTTAATTTTAAAAATTGTTCCAAGTATCATTTGGTAGCTATCACCTAAGGAGATGTTCTGTTTGAGTTAATCAGCTGCTGCAAGGTTATCTGTGATCTATTTGAAAGTGCCTTAGCCAGCATCTTGTCTTCTGTTTTAATTAGTAATTACTGGCCTAAGATTGTCACTTACCATAGGCTTTTGTACTGACCTCTCAAATTAAGATCGCCCGTGAAATTAAAAGTGGAAGAAGCCTATTGGGTCACTTACTCTATCCTCCAAAGTGCATTTATTATTCATGGTGTGTGGCAGGGAACCCAAGTGTAGGGTATGATTGAGAACACCGCAGTTAACTCGTCTTTGAAATGTAAATACAACTAATGAGTATACCTGTCTTCCCCCAGGATCTGTCCTTGTCTGCTTTGTCATTCTGACTTCTTTCTTTCTTCTCTTTGATGGGGCTCCTGATTTCCTTTCCTTCCTTCTCACTCAAGACTGAAAATAACATTTTGCAGAAGGATTCCAAGTGGTAAAAAGCACAGAAAATATTCCATGGATTTCTCAAAACGTGTGCTTTACCAGCATTTCAGATCTCATTGTGACCAGGACTGTGCTAAGTGTCGCCTTCATAATTTGGCACAACAAATCATTTGACATGAACACGCTATTGCAAGTTTAAAAAAGAACACCAGCTTGCTTGCAGCAAAAGCCCACATTGGCAACATTTAGCTAGAGTGAAACTGTGCCATTCACTGCCTGTCACAGACTTTCAACTAAAAGCATCACATTTAATACAGCAAAGTGAATTGTTCCAGGCAAAAACAAGAAAAATTTTTTGGGGAAACACTGGCTCAGCCGAAAGAGGGAGCAGGACAGTAGAGTAGATCTCCACCTCTCAGTCTTCAGTTGCCCCATACACAAAATGTATGTGGGCTCTCCTCTTTGTAACTGTATACAGTGGCTTGAAAATAGGTTAAAAATACCCAAGAAAGGTAACAGTAAGCCATGCCAGAGTTGGCTGTAGAGCCTTTATGGGAACCTGAACAGAAAAGGCACCTTCTACAAAACCGGTCTGTCAAGTAAAATGCAAGCTTCCTCCCCATATAGTACAGCAGCTTTTTTGTTTTCCCCACCAGCGCTTTTCCTTCACCCGATTATTCAGATATCTCTACACAGCTTTGTAAATAAAAATTGAAAATGTCTTCTACTGCAGGCTGCTGATCTACTGCATGTTGGAGCACAACCTCTTCCAAGCACAGGAACGCTCCATTTCACATGCAGAAAGCTGAGTGGATGTGGCAGGAGGTCAACACGCGTGAGTGGGCATCTCCTGACTGAGCTCAGATGTG